CGCACTCCCCCTTGTCCCTGCTTTGGTTTGATTTTTATGCCCGCCACTTGACGATAACAAGGGTAAATATATCCTCGTAAAGGACGCATTTTCAAACGTTCCGCTATGCTTTTTATCTGTATCGCTAGATGAGTAGATCTGCAGTTCAGTGAACAAAGAAACGGCTATTTTATCTTTTGATTTCAATTATGGGCACATAAATCGCGAAATTATTAAACAACTCACACTAATTAAACGGTTTTTCGCCAATCAATAATTTCAGCAATATAAGGAGATTTTTAAATATTTTTTATTTTTTACTACTATTACAGTAACAAGTTGTCAAAAATGTAATTATAATGTGAACCCTACAAAAGGCCACACATTTTTTGAATATCCGTGAGCAATACAATATTTGACTTAAAATAGTAATAATTAATTGATTTCATAGAAAGTATTTGTTTATCAATTATTATTAATAAATTAATCTACATTTTTTCTAGTTAAGTGCAATATTTTTTTTATTTTTATATATATGTAATTTACAAAACTAAGTAAGTGTGATTGGTTTAAATCGTTAAAATGGGCTAAAGTAACCCTAGCTTTGCTCATTCATAAATCGAGTGGTATCGCAAGGTCGAGTGACTCCACTGCGGGATTCATCCTTATTTGTTTGTGGCACATCGAATCCACCTGCTCCCCGCCGCCCACAGATTCGCTCCAGTGCGGCTTATTGTTTTTATATGTACTCAACACTGCAGCCAATATGTCTGTTGCTTATGCCCTTGCCAGCGGTATCTTTATCTGTATCTGTATCTGGGCTTATATCTGTATCTGTATCTGTATCCGAATCTGTCAATTGCATGACGCGCTCTGTTGAAAGCCGGGCACGCTCCGCCAATTGTTGGGGTCTCTAGGTGAGGGCGTGGTCGGGGCAGGGCGGGATCGGGATCGGGGTCGGACCAGTTGAATCCCGAACGCTGAAAGGTATGCCAGCATGAAAACAGGCATTAGCCAACTCTGCCAATTGCAATCAGCCCGAATGGCATCAACATTCTCAGAGGGTTCATTCCGACAATTGCCTGGCGTTGACTTCACTCATAACTCGCAATGCTTGATGGGGGTGAGCCCTTAAAAGCCCACGGTAATGGTAATGTTGATGAAAGAACAAAATATGCATTACATTTTGAGTTCGACAGCGAATGACTTTGAAAATCCAAGCTGTAAAGAACAAACCTTTATTTCGCGGATACAAGCCACGAGTGAAGGAAAATACGGAGAGTACGAGAAAGCTTATTGTTTTGAAATCATTTCAAGAAAGGGTGGGTCTTTGTCTAAAATTATGACAGTAGGTGCATAAAATCATAGCTTTCTGACGTGGGATCCTCTCGAAGACACCCTAATTTCATTTTCTTTTTATACCCTTGCAGAGGGTATTATAATTTTGGTCAAAAGTGTGCAACGCAGTGAAGGAGACATCTCCGACCCTATAAAATATATATATTCTTGATCAGGATCACCTCCTGAGTTGATATAGCCATGTCCGTCTGTCCGTCTGTCTGTCCGTCTGTCTGTCCGTCTGTCTGTCCGTCTGTCTGTCCGTCTGTCTGTTTCTACGCAAACTAGTCTCTCAGTTTTAAAACTATCGAATTGAAACTTTGCACACACCCTTCTTTTCTTTGCACGCAGTATATAAGTCGGAACGGCCGGGATCGGCCGACTATATCCTATACCCGCCATATAACTGATTGATCGGATATGCCATAACTTTGGTGTTTGTAAAGATAGGAAGTTGGGACTTTCTATGGGTTTTATATTTGGCCAATCAATCCGACCTACCAAATTTCATATGGATCGGCCGACTATATCCTATAGCCGCCATATAACTGATTGATCGGATATGCCATAACTTTGGTGTTTGTAAAGATAGGAAGTTGGGACTTTCTATGGGTTTTATATTTGGTTAATCAATCCGACCTAACAAATTTCATAAGGATCGGCTGACTATATCCTATAGCCGCCATATATCTGATTGATCGGGAATGCCATGACTTTGGCGTTTGTAAAGTATGGAAGTTGGAATTTTCTATGGGTTTTATATTTGGCCAATCAATCCGACCTACCAAATTTCATAAGGAGCGGCCGACTATATCTTATAGCTGCCATATAACTGATTGATCGGAAATGCCATAACTTTGGTGTTTGTAAAGTTAGGAAGTTGGAATTTTCTATGGGTTTTATATTTGGCCAATCAATCCGACCTACCAAATTTCATAAGGATCAGCTGACTATATCCTATAGCCGCCATATAACTGATTGATCGGAAATGCCATAACTTTGGTGTTTGTTAAGTTAGGATGTTGAGATTTTCTATGGGTTTTAAATTTGGCCAATCAATCCGACCTACCAAATTTCATAAGGATCGGCCGACTATATCCTATAGCTGCCATATAACTGAACGATTGGAAATCCCATAACTTTGGTGTTTTTATACCCGTAACTCGTAGAGTAAAAGGGTATATTGTATTCGTGCAAAAGTATGTAACAGGTAGAAGGAAGCGTTTCCGACTTAAAGTATATATATTCTTGTTCAGGATCACTAGCCGAGTCGATCTAGCCATGTCCGTCTGTCCGTCTGTCTGTTTCTACGCAAACTAGTCTCTCAGTTTTAAAGCTATCGAGTTCAAACTTTGCACACACCCTTCTTTCCTTTGCACGCAGTATATATGTCGGAAAGGCCGGGATCGGCCGACTATATCCTATAGCTGCCATATAACTGATTGATCGGAAATGCCATAACTTTGGTGTTTGTAAAGTAAGGAAGTTGGAATTTTCGATGGGTTTTATATTTGGCCAATCAATCCGACCTACCAAAGTTCATAAGGATCGGCCGACTATATCTTATAGCTGCCATATAACTGATTGATCGGAAATGCCATAACTTTGGTGTTTGTAAAGTTAGGAAGTTGGAATTTTCTATGGGTTTTATATTTGGCCAATGAATCCGATTTACCAAATTTCATAGGGATCGGCCGACTATATCTTATAGCTGCCATATAACTGATTGATCGGAAATGCCATAACTTTGGTGTTTTTAAAGTTAGGAAGTTGGGATTTTTTATGGGTTTTATATTTGGCCAATCAATCCGATCTACCAAATTTCATAAGGATCGGCCGACTATATCTTATAGCTGCCATATAACTGATTGATCGGAAATGCCATAACTTTGGTGTTTGTAAAGTTAGGAAGTTGGAATTTTCTATGGGTTTTATATTTGGCCAATGAATCCGATTTACCAAATTTCATAGGGATCGGCCGACTATATCTTATAGCTGCCATATAACTGATTGATGGGAAATGCCATAACTTTGGTGTTGGTAAAGTTAGGAAGTTGGAATTTTCGATGGGTTTTATATTTGGCCAATCAATCCGACCTACCAAAGTTCATAAGGATCGGCCGACTATATCTTATAGCTGCCATATAACTGAACGATTGGAAATGCTATAACTTTGGTGTTTTTAAAGTTAGGAAGTTGGGATTTTTTATGAGTATTAAGAACGCATCATATGAATAATTTTGGAGAATATAATTTACAGAGTATTCTGCAAGGGTATATCAACTTCGGCTCCGCCCGAAGTTAGCTTTCCTTTCTTGTTATACCCGTTACTCGTAGAGTAAAAGGGTATTCGTGCAAAAGTATGTAACAGCTAGAAGGAAGCGTTTCCGACCCCATAAAGTATATATATTCTTGATCAGGGTCACTAGCCGAGTCGATATAGCCATGTCCGTCTGTCCGTCTGTCCGTCTGTCCGTCTGTCTGTCCGTCTGTCTGTCTGTCTGTCCGTATGAACGCTGAGATCTCGGAAACTATAAAAGCTAGAAGATTGGCATTTTGCATGCAGATTCTAGGAGTTCCTACGCAGCGCAAGTTTGTTTCAAAAAGGTGCCACGCCCCCTTTAACGCCTACAATCGCTTAGATACGATTTTAAAAATTTAAATATTTCGGAAAAGTAAAAATGCAGTTTTATTGTGTTTATCAATACCTATCGAAATGGACCATTCGTTAAAAAGTTATGCGTAATCAAAGTTTCTATCTCCATCTCCCTCGCACTCACTTTACTTGAGTAACGGGTATCTGATAGTCGGGGCACCCGACTATAGCGTTCTCTCTTGTTATACCCTTGCAGAGGGTATTATAATTTTGGTCAAAAGTGTGCAACGCAGTGAAGGAGACATCTCCGACCCTATAAAGTATATATATTCTTGATCAGGATCACCTCCTGAGTTGATATAGCCATGTCCGTCTGTCCGTCTGTCCGTCTGTCTGTCCGTCTGTCCGTCAGTCTGTTTCTACGCAAACTAGTCTCTCAGTTTTAAAGCTATCGAGTTGAAACTTTGCACACAGCCTTCTTTCCTTTGCACGCAGTATATAAGTCGGAACGGCCGGGATCGGCCGACTATATCCTATAGCTACCATATAACTGATTGATCGGAATTGCCATAACTTTGGTGTTTGTAAAGTTAGAAAGTTGAAATTTTCTATGGGTTTTATATTTGGCCAATCAATCCGACCTACCAAACTTCATAAGGATCGGCCGACTATATCTTATAGCTGCCATATAACTGATTGATCGGAAATGCCATAACTTTGGTGTTTGTAAAGTTAGGAAGTTGGGATTTTCTATCGGTTTTATATTTGGCCAATCAATCCGACCTACCAAATTTCATAAGGATCGGCCGACTATATCCTATAGCCGCCATATAACTGATTGATCTGAAATGCCATAACTTTGGTGTTTGTTAAGTTAGGAAGTTGGGATTTTCTATGGGTTTTATTTTTGGCCAATCAATCCGACCTGGTGTTTTTAAAGTTAGGAAGTTGGGATTTTTTATGAGTATTAAGAATGCATAATCTGAATAATTTTGGAGAATATAATTTACAGAGTATTCTGCAAGGGTATATCAACTTCGGCTCCGCCCGAAGTTAGCTTTCCTTTCTTGTTTTTATTATTATTCGTTCAATATATGACAAAGTCGTAGTTTCTTTCGGTGTTGCCATTTCCGTTCTCATTTTTCGGTGATGGTGTGTTTTCAGGTTCGGGTTCTGGTTTGGGTTCTGGTTCGGGTTCTGGTTCGGGTTCTGGTTCGGGTTCGTAACGGCTCGAATCAATTAAAGACTCATTGATAATCCAATTTCGAAACATTGCTACATTGGTATAAACCGCCGGGACGTCTTGCATTCCGCACTCAACGCCAAAGTTCACAATGCCGGCCAGCTCATACCTTTGGGGATCTTCTTGGTGGGGACAAGCCAGCGGAGAGCCACCATCGCCCTTGCAAGAGTCCTTTCCAAGCTCCCCGCCTGCGCACAAGAGGCTGTTGTGGAGCTGGAATTGGTTTCCGTAGAATCGACGAAGTTGATATTCGCACCTTTTGTTCTGGACTATTGGTAGCTCCACCTTCTTCAAGACGTTCATGTATGTGTAGTCGTTATAGGGCCTCTTACCCCAGCCAGTGAAGATGCAGCGCGAGTAATCGAAGGTCCTATTAACCGGCGGCAGGCAGATTGGCTTAATGTGTTTGGTAAATGTTAGCGGAGTCTGAAGGAACAAGAGAGCCACATTATTGGCCCCGTTCCTTTTGTCGAAGCCAGGATGCCGAACGATCGACCGGATTCTAGCATCAACATGTGGAAAATGCTCGGAGTTGGTTTTGAAGTCCCATTCGCCAGCGCGGGCAATAAGCTGGTTTTCAGTTCGGTTGTCGGTTACGTGTTTGGCTGTGATGACCACCTCGGGAGAGATAATGGCGCCACCACCCAAGTATTCTCCATTAATATCGAGCAAGGCCACCATCCAAGGAAACTCGAACTCCTGGGCAAAGCCATCCATGTCGCGCACTTCGAAGGATATGCCTCTGCTGTTGGGTCGCCCGCACTCGGGAATAACCGTCTCTTCGACGCTTATATCTGGCCCGTTATTCTGAAAAGGCAGCCGATAGTTAGTATTATCTTTCAAACACTGCAACAACGTCACTTACAAGTATGTGTATATTTTGACAGCAGGTTTCCGGCGCAGGGCACCCATTATTTCCATTAGACATGGCTCGGAAATCTACTTGATACCGGCACTTATGACGCGGCACGCACCTTCTCTCTCTTGGGGGCCAACAATCCTGGCCCAGGACCTGATAGGTGACCAGGAAAAGGAACAGGATTGGAAGAATTCCGTGCAGACGAGGCATTCTTGTTTGCGGTGGAAAAGAAACTGCGGCCTCTTGAGACAGATAGCCGCTATTTAAAGCCTATGGTTCTTGTGACCTTATAACCCGAGAAGAGACATCGCATCGCAACTGATTTAAAAAAAAACCCAGTGACTCTCTCGACTACTGAATGCGTTGTACACATACATGATTTTAATGGGGCTTCAAAACGTGAGCGTGCCAAATATATTGGTTGTTTACGAGATCCCGATTTTTCCATACAAATGCACATAGCATATTTGGACTTGGCTGTTGATGCTTATTATACCCTTGCAGAGGGTATATAAGTCGGAACGGCCGGGATCGGCCGACTATATCCTATAGCTGCCATATAACTAATTGATCGGAAATGCCATAACTCTGCTGTTTGTTAAGTTAGGAAGTTGGGATTTTCTATGGGTTTTATTTTTGCCCAATCAATCCGACGTACTAAATTTAATAAGGATCGGCCGACTATATCTTATAGCTGCCATATAACTGATTGATCGGAAATGCCATAACTTTAGTGTTTGTTAAGTTAGGAAGTTGGGATTTTCTATGGGTTTTATTTTTGGCCAATCAATCCGACCTACCAAATTTCATAAGGATTGGCCGACTATATCCTATAACGATTGGAAATGCCATAACTTTGGTGTTTTTAAAGTTAAGAAGTTGGGATTTTTTATGAGTAATAAGAATGCATCATATGAATAATTTTGGAGAATATAAGGTACATAATATTCTGCAAGGGTATATCAACTTCGGCCCCGCCCGAAGTTAGCTTTCCTTTCTTGTTTTTGTAATTTTTGTATACCCTTGCAGAGGGTATTATAATTTCAGTCAAAAGTTTGCAAAGCAGACATTTCCGACCCTATAAGGTATATATATTCTTGATCAGCATCACCAGGAGAGTCGATCTAGCCATGTCCGTCTGTCCGTCCGTCTGTCCGTTTCTACGCAAACTAGACCTCAGTTTAAAAGCTATCTGCTTGAAACTTTCCCAAAAGTTGGCTTTCTATTGCAGGTAGTATATAAGTCGGAACGAGCCGGATCGGGCGACTATATCATATATATATCATAGAAAACGAGAACGGAAGCTAACTTCGGCAAGCGGAAGTTTTAATACCCTTGCAGACTTTGCCGAAATTGTTAAAAATTGAAAAGATAGCGAAAAGAATAAAGTATACATAAATAAATTAGATTTACATAGTTTTATGTCAATGGCTTTTCTACTGCAAAAGCGTCATATAAAAATAGCCTTTAACAATTTTTGCTACGAAGCTATAAGATATAGACGTCCGATCGGCAAGCGCTTATACCATGATCAAGTTATGCGTAAATAAACTTGGAAAAATGTATGTCAATAGCTTATACACTGCGCGTAATATTCTGAAAAACTTCAAATTTGAACCGATTTTACCCTATTGATCCTATGGGAGCTATAGGATATAGACGTCCGATCGCCACGAATATTCTGTAAATAATATTCTCCAACATTATTCATATGATGGATTCTTAATACTCATAAAAATCCCAACTTCCTAAGTTTAAAAACACCAAAGTTATGGCATTTCCGATCGTTCAGTTATATGGCAGCTATATGATATAGTCGCCCGATACAGCTCGTTCCGACTTATATACTATCTGCTATAGAAAGCCAACTTTTGGGAAAGTTTCAAGCAGATAGCTTTTAAACTGAGGTCTAGTTTGCGTAGAAACGGACAGACGGACGGACAGACGGACATGGCTAGATCGACTCTCCTGGTGATGCTGATCAAGAATATATATACTTTCTAGGGTCGCAAATGTCTCCTTCGCTGCATTGCGAACTTTTGACTAAAATTGTAATACACTCTGCAAGGGTATACAAAACTGAAGGAATCAGCGGTTTCATAGCCAGTGGGTTGGCGCTCTACGCGTTTTCACGAACAGAATGGCACTAGGCTAAACAACAAATTTTCTAAATTTGTACTTTTACTCTTTCGTTTTTATTTCACCAAAGGTATTTTATTATCTTAAGGTCTTGGTGTGCACTCCCTTATCTAATTAACTGCTTCGTGCACTCTCTTCCGTCCACGGCGATAACATTCTTGGAAATAGCTGAAAAGCTACAGGTCAAATTGCGTTTATGTCGAAAAAAACCCAAACAAATATAAACTTTTGTTTATAAAAATAAACAGGAAAGGAATCAAACTTCGGCAAGCCACAGTTTATATACTCTTGGATTTTTTATTTTTTTTAATTTTGAGATTTTATATGATATATTTAATTAAAACCGTAGTTCCATAGTGTTTAAATATTACCAAATCCCAAAGAACAAAAAAAAAATATTTTAAAAAATATATATTTTTGTAATTTTTATACCCGTTACTCGTAGAGTAAAAGGGTATATTGTATTCGTGCAAAAGTATGTAACAGGTAGAAGGAAGCGTTTCCGACCCTATAAAGTATACATATTCTTGTTCAGGATCACTAGCCGAGTCGATCTAGCCATGTCCGTCTGTCCGTCTGTCTGTCCGTCTGTCTGTCTGTCCGCCTTTCTGTCTGTCTGTCTGTCCGTATGAACGCTGAGATCTCGGAAACTATAAAAGCTAGAAGATTGGCATTTTGCATGTAGATTTTAGGAGTTCCTACGCAGCGCAAGTTTGTTTCAAAATGGTGCCACGCCCCCTCTGACGCCCACAAGCCACAAGCTGTGGCCACAGTTTTGATGCTATTATGAAAATTTTAATTGATATGTATTTATTTCGTCAATACCTATCGATTGGCCTAATAAAAGTTTGCCACGCCCACTCTAACGCCCAAAAACCCATTAAACGCTTAAGCCTGGTTAGCGCCTACATTTCTACATGGGGTAGATGGTGCAATACAGTAGCGCCATCTAACGGATGACTTTGGAACAGCTGGCCAAGGTGCTCAACAGAGTCAACGTTAATTCTCGATAAGGATTTCTATTAAAGGAAATTGCGATGGTTTTCATTTGTCAATACCGAACTACATATATCCCAAGAACTATGCAAATCAAATCAAGTTAGCCAAATTGGAGGTCTGAGTCAAACAATTGCGTATGTGTGTATGTATGTAAGCATATACATATGTATGTATTTACATTGTACACAGTTGCTGAGTAACGGGTATCTAATAGTCGAGGCACCCGACTATAGCGTTCTCTCTTGTTTGTTCCTATTGTTCCTAAGGAAGCATCACATTGCTTGTCGCCAGATCCGATTTGTTCCGACTTAGATAGCTTAAAAACTGAGGGGCTAGCTTGCGTAGAAGACGGACAGACGGACGGACAGACGGACGGACAGACGGACGGACAGACGGACGGACAGACGGACGGACAGACGGAAAGACGGACGGACAGACGGGCTGGGCTATATGAGACACTTCATGAGTTAGATGAGCTGAACCGGATTGACCTTTCCCTCTTGGTCGTATAAGCTTATCTGAGCTGAACCATTTTTAACGAATCACGTGTACAATACATAGTGAATGGATGAGTTATGATTCATATGACTTGAAGAACAAAGATTGAATGGCTCATTAAAACCAAAAAACATTTGATCTAAATGATAATGAACAATATGAAATATTAAAATGATCATCATCGTTAAACATTTTTACATTCAATAGAAGATGACTCTCGGCGGGATCGTCGGGAAGATAGAAAGAAATGTTACAATTTAATCAATGAGGTAAGTGAAGAGTTGGATTGTACTTCCTTTTTATTATGTTAAAAATAAAATAGGGACTCACCTAGAATCGACAAAAACCAGGCAATCTAACTATATTAAAGTCTGGAAATGGATACGAATTGACGCAAATGCATCAATTATCCAACAAAAAAACAGTGATATATATACATAATATTGCAATACTATATTAGAAGCATTTAAAATTATATTGAGAATTAAAAAACTGGGAAATTATTACGGTCTCCGATAAGAACTTGAGCTAATTTCGAACTCACTAATTAAAAATACCAAATTTGAAAACACAGGGCAACAAAAATTTTAAGCAGACTTAATTGAACTTTCAATGTTTGCCTGATAACTATACCGTGACCTAAAATTTTTGAACTCAAGGCCAAAAAATAATTTTTAAAAAAACGCAGCTTTCTTATCGCTATTTTTATAGGACAACAATCCTACATATTTTTATAGGACAACAGTCCTATATAAATGGACCGCGCCAGAGGCATTTATTCAGTCTTCGAAACGAATTCTACAAAGCATGAAGGGCTTTATACTAGGAGTTGCGGCATTAGCCTGTCTGTTCCTTTGTAAGGAAGGATCCGCCCGTTTGCTGGAACCCCAATGCGGAACAACAAGGACTTGACACAGGGTTAAACGGGTGATCGGAGGACAAGATGCTGAAATGTACGCCAATCCTTGGATGGTACTGCTCTTCAAAGACCTTAAAACTAAATGTGGCGTTACGCTCATCACCTCCCGTAAGTTTTTAAAAAATTTCTAACCTTTTTGTACCTTATTTTTTGTTTTTCAATGTGCCTTAAATGAGCACCATCTTTCAGTATAACTTAGCTATGAACTTTAATAATCTATTGCAGGTTTTGTTTTGACGGCAGCGCAATGCTTTGAACCTTCGCCTAAGTATGTGCATGAGTTGTATGTTTTAATTGAAATTAAATTATTGTTGTTTACAGTAAGGTGCGCCTAGGCGAATACGACATGTCAACCAACCCAGATTGTTCATCGAGAGGTTGTAAGCCACCCAGCTTTGAGATTGATATCGAACGGTTGATTCCTCACCCATCGTATGACATAAGAACACTTAACAATGACATAGGTCTGGTCAAACTGGCTCAAAATGTTATTTTTTCAGGTAATGAAGGAATCTAATAACCATCAAATACTTTCTAAACTGAAATATTTTCTTTAGACCATTTCAGGCCGATCTGTCTGCTCGTCAATCAGATTGTAGACATAACTTTTACACCATTTAGTGTCACAGGCTGGGGTAGAACTGAAACTAGTAAG